GTTTTCATGAGGTCCTCTAACCTGGAGACATATCTTGTTATTTCTATGCTTGTTTTAAGGAGCAAAAAATGATTGGTAAAAGGCACAGGGAACTTGAAATTATAGAACTCACGTGATAAAACAGAAAGAGAGGAAAGACTATGAATTTTTTTTACTTTAAACTAGATCCCACAAATTTATGTATTTGAGTGAAAGAGTATAATAGGAGACAGTGAGATAGTCCAACAACCCCTTTTTGGTTTATTAAGGCTCTCATAACATTTCCTTTGTAAAAATAAACAATACATTCTTCCCAAAACTCAATTTGCATCACTAAAATAAAAAGCACAAGATCAGTATTTAAAAAACAGGTACTATCTTCAGCTGTAATAATAAAAAAAAAAAAAAGTCAAATTTGTATCTATGCTTCTTAACTTTCCATCATGTAATATTTTCTCCCCAGGAGACCATCTTCAACAAAGAAAACAAAAGATCTCATTTAACTGGCTTCTCCGTACTGGCTGAAGCAGCAGATAAAACGATTAATAGGCAGCCTTCAAATCCTCAATCCTCAGAAATTTTAAGAAACTAATTGAAATACTTCAAAAACCCATTTATGGCCTCTGCTATGGATATGATAAGCACATTCAATTTTCAAACTCACCTCTGCTCAATACCAAGATGTGCATTGATGCTAGCATATCGAGCCGTGCCAGTAAGGTTTTTATCTTCTCTGTATGGTATGTGTTGTCTTGTCCTGTTGTCTCTGTACTTTTTGGCCAAACCAAAATCAATAAGGAATAACTTTAAGAGAGAAATAAAGAAACATTAGGTTCCCAAACTTGTTCCATTAAACTGCTTCTTATTCATTAAATGGCATAGATTCTGTATATTCACATATATCAAAATAAAGTATCATAAGTAGAACAGAAAATGCATAGACTTAATACCCCAATAAGCCTTTACTAGGCCTCATCAGTAAATCAAGTTAAAAAAAAAATACAGTTAAGTCTAGTAGTTTACCCTTGTCATTTGCAAATTTCACAGGCCCAGTTCACTATACTCTCAGGGGCCCGTCTTTATAAAATAAGTGGAAAAATGTATTCATGTCTGACAGCAGAGCTGACAAGGGTGCTGTCTGCCATAATGACACCTGATATCCTGTTACTGGTAAACAAACATGAGGTTTCAAAATCTAGACATAAGTTATCTGGAACTCTTCCCTCCTACAAAGGCCACTCTTTAGTATGCCAACAGGGTTATCTAAAACAGATAACCCTGAAAGTTTGGTATTGCCAACAAACCCAAGACTTTTCATTAACAAAAAACACTATTTAGCACTGACATTATGCATGTGATCAGGTTAAAATTCTGAAAAATATAACAAGCTGATGTAAAAATCCTTAAAAAGGCACTTAGCATTTAAATCAAGGTGGTTTACAACAGTTTAAATGAGCTAACTAAAAACAAAAGTAGTATTTTAAAACAAAGTAACATGTAGTACTATCTCCTCTACATGGTACCCAAGAAATAAGGCACCCATTTAAAATGTAGTTAATGTTTGTTTCTAAGTACTTCAAGTTTATACTACAGAATTTAAAACTTTAAAAGAAAAAATATTTTTGATGATAAAGAAATACAAAATATATTCGCATTTACCTCCCTTTTAAAGTACAATAATCTTTACTTAAAATTTTGGCTTATCATAAAATCACTTATTAGACTATGCTCTAATAAAATTATGTCTACAAAGATTACTGAGCTGGGCCCTTACATTATATAGCTCTAGACTATTGTTCTTTTCTGGGTGTGTCTAAATTTTGTAGTTCTTTCCATTAGGCTATTGGGTCCCTTCTGCCAGTTTATAATCTGTGACCTGCTGGAAAATCCAATCACCTAACCTGTGGGGTTTATGTCAATATATAAATAAAGCAGTTTACAGATTTAGGTTAAAGAGATCTGACCAAGGACCTCTCTTAGGAGAATGAGTAACATCTATTTCAGCCAGACACTGTAACCTAGTCTCAATTATATTTTGTTATCGTAAAGACACTGATATTTGAGCTTCTGTCACTATGTCAACAACGAGATACTTATTTTCACTTGATCTACTATAAAAAGAATGAAGATTAAATTATTAGTGAATGCAATTGGATAATGAAAGCTCTCTAAAGAGATTAAACCTCCTTCCTAAGCAAGGAAGTAATTTTAGGAAAGTTAGTATTATAAAACACTTAGAGAAATAAAGCTCACACGGTGTTTCTTTTGATAAGAAAACCAGCTCAGTACATAAATATTAAAATGAGCAAATCACACTTCCATTAAGCCAAACAAAAACGAAGATTAAGCTCTGTAGATTCATATAGAAAAGAAAACATGGGGAAAATAAATGCAAAGGACACTCAGCTACATGGTATTTTTAAAATATTCCTAAGAAATATGTGGATTTGTATGAGCAGTGATTAGCACATAGGATTTCCTCTAGGGGATATTTTCTAGGATTGCTTCCTTTACAACTTCAAAATGGAGGAAAAAAAGGGAAGAGCTGTCATGACATGAGTATGTCTAGTAGTTTCATTCATGTCTAAATCTACATTCAATAGCTCCATTTCCAACTCCATAACCAGACACTTTCTCGCACGCAAAAGACTGCTTTGTAGAAATTCAGTGTTCACTGGAGAGTTCTTTCCTTCTACAAAGCTAGGAGGAAACCTTATTTATCAAGAAAACTGAAAAAATATATACATTGTCTTCTTAAATATCTCAATCTTTAATATCAGAACAAAAAAGTAAGACGCAAATGAACCAATTTTTCTCTTCTTATAAAAACTTTAAAGTCAGAGGGAAAAATGTCACTGCTGAACAAAGGTATCCTAGTCTCAGCAAACAACTGAAAGGAAAACTACTTAAAGTAAAAATAAAATATGTCTTGGTAGTTCATTACCTTTGGGTACCTAGCAAGCTTCTTTTGTAGCTCTCTGTATACTTTGAACTTAAAAACAAATATAAACACATAATGGAAGTGTTTACAAGCATACAACCAAAAGCTGTGATATGCAAAGGCAGAACCAAATGAGAAAACGTCAGTATCAAATAAGCATACAATAATCTATTTTTTAATTTATTATTATTTTTTGAGACAGAGTCTCACTCTGTTGCCCTGGGTAGAGTGCAGTGGTGTCATCTTAGCTCACTGAAACCTGAAATTTCTGGGCTCAAGCAATCCTTCTGCCTCAGCCTCCCGAGTAGCTGCAATTACAGGCACACACCACAATGCCCAGCTAATTTTTCTGTTTTTAACAGACATGGGCTCTCACTCTTGCTCAGGCTGGTTTGGAACTCCTGAGCTCAAGCAATCCTCCCAGAATGCTAGGATTACAGGCGTGAGCCATCGCGCCTGGCCACGACAATGTGTTTTTACAGGCTTGTATGTGCAAAGACACATGCAAATTTCTTTGGTGGGCCAACCTGCTTTTTTGTGGATTTTTACTAATTACATGTTGTGAGTAAAATTTATGCCTGTTTTTAAAAATGCAGCCTATTCTTCAAAGGCACATGAAAATGAGTTATTGTTTGATAAATTAAGGTAAATTCCATTCAATAGAGGTACACTGTCTTCAAAAACACTATTGCTAGTTTTAGTTTTCAGTACTTGGAGCAATTTTTCTAACCAGGGGTCATGTTTACCCTGGCCCTTCCAAAAAATTCACAACCTACCTAACCTGTATATACAAACGATTTAATACAACTTTATATGTAAATTATTAAATGATTTATTCTATAAAATTTAAGTAAAATGTGTGAATGAAAGGGTAAAGATGGGGCACTAGAGCTTTAAAAAATTATATTGTTACAACGTGCCTAATTATCTATCTGCTCTATCTCCCCAACTAAAATCTACTCAAAATAATTGGTACTACTTTGCCTGAATAAAAATAACTTGTGGTCCCTGGAAGAAGGCTGGGTGGTATGGAAAAGAATTAAATGATTACCCAGATGATACATGATGTGCATAATTAATCTATTACCAAGTTATGTTTTTTCTTTTTTGATTATTCATGCCAATACCTCCTTTTCACCATATACTAAATAGAAAGATTTATTTGTTCAGGAGTGTCAAAATTTAGGTACATAAATTTTGTTATTAAAAAAGCATTTATTTTCCTTTGTCCTAAAATTCCCATCTTAAAAAGCCATCTAACTTCTATAAAAGTAAAAGAAAATATGAAGAGTTCTGCTTACATTGTCTTTAGAAATTTAGAAAATTACTAGCCTGCCAAAAACTAAATCATCGGGTTATGCATTCATTTAACTTATCTTAACATATTATAATACTAATGGTAATCTACCATAAAAGTTTGATAAGTGCTTAAATTATGTTACTGTTATATTATTAAGAATGCAATGTCTTCTAGTTCCAGAGCATATAATGCTCTTTAAGTATCCCTTTGGTAGAAGTTGAGAATTCATAGACAAACCCATTATAGAAACACTAGATCTGAAATCTGATCTACACTTACCTGAAGTTCCATAGGGAAGGGGAAGAGAGGTGAGGTAGAATATATTCATTATACAGTACTGATGCAACTGAATTTAAATATATTTCGTGCATTAAGTTGTGCAACTCCAAATACATTTTTAAAAACTAAACAATCTATCTCAAGTTTACTATTAGGTAAAGAATCTGAATACTAAACCAACATAATCATTTCCTCATATGGATATCAGAGATCTAAACATAATGTCCTATTTTCATTTAGGTTCTCTAAACTTTACAAGTTTTAAGCAAAAGCCACAAAGAAACATCTTAGTAATGTTATGTTTGCCAAGTATGTCTGAATAATGCCAACGTAAGAGGTGCTTGAGCAAGATCTACATTCTCCAGAATTAAAACAAAACAAAAATAATAAAAATAAAACAATAAAAAAGAAAAGCACATGAATTTGGGATTGAGGTTGGAATAGGAGACAGTTTCAGACCTGGTTTAATCCTGAGAAAGATGGGTCCTGAGAAGTACTAACAGTCATGCTTCTTTTCCTCTTCCCCACTGGAGATTCTAAACACTAAACAGACAATAGAGGGTGGCAGTGCATCAAACAGTATTGCTTACATTGCAACAATGGCTGGCGCAGACAGGCAACACCGAGGCATTAGAGAAAGAACAGGGTAGCCAAATGCCATCCTTCTTCCACCAAGCACTGTAGCTTCTCAGTTTTCCAAATAAGAACCACATGCTCAAGAACATTTGAATTCTGGAAAATACTCAAGTTTTTAATGCCACTATATAGTGTCACTGCCTGAAACAGGGATAGCAATGGTGACATTTGGCTCTTTAATTTTTTCATCAAAAATGGGGAATTTAGATCTGTAATCTTTGGTACCATAATCTGCCCTTCCCCCAAAAAAAATTGTACAGGGGAAAAAAATCTTCAGTAAGGAAGAGGTAGAAGGCATTTAGTCACCTTAAAATTTATTTTTGTAAGCATGCAGGGCTGATTACTGGAAGAGATGAGCAAATTCACTAAGATTGGAGTGACCACTCCTAAATATCAAATTCAGAACAATTCTCCAAATAAGAAATTTAACTTTAAAAAATCGACCTCAAAAACCCCCCCAAACCTTTTTCTCCCATGAATAGAAAACTACTAGAACAAGCTTACCGAAGAATCCAGTTTCATACAACTGGCATTTTTCAAACTATAACACAGAAAACACTAAAAACCAACTACATAAACAAAACACTAATCTAAAATGTTGAAAAGCAGCATTTAGTATGTGACTCTTAGTTAAGTAAAACAGTTTGCTTCTACCTCACGGTCTCTCTGAAACTGTTTAACAGCAAGCAGCTCCACAAAATTTTTAGTATCTGTAAGGAGGATACAGATCCTAAAAAGGTTTTTTCATTTTTATTTTTTAACCACCAGGTAACTTAGACTTCCTAACACCAACTATGTGATTAACAAGCTATTCTTAAGGAGGAAAAAAAAAGGAAAGTGGTATCTAGGCCATCATTTAAATTTAAGGCAAAAACCATGTACTGCAATGTCAACATGCAGAACAGGGATCACACAGGGATAATGGGTCTTTAGGGTTAAGAAAATGGGAAGGAGAGGGCTGGGAAATCGCCAAAAGAAGATTAGAGTCAAACTGACAAAACTGCCCAAAAACTTAAGATCAGTAATTTTTTTTTTCAATTAAATTACCAGGCTTTGCAATAACAACTAAGAACCTGGATACGTCAAAGAGAAAAACTACACAGTATTTTTTTAATGCAATTTGGAAATAACAAAATAAGTTATATGTAGATTTAAATACCTTTCATTATTTAAAGCTCAATGAAAAAATTTGATTTCCTAAAACTTGGTCAGACCAACACCAATGTCTCACACATTAACAAATAACACCAGTTCCAATGGTAATGGCTCCAAGTTGGCATTCATACAGGCAAACAAAGGTAAACATTTATAGCTAGACCTAAAAACACCGAACATCCCCTAATCGTTTAATAAAACAAATGGGAATCTTCCTTCCAAAAACAAAACAAACAAAAAATAGTACCACAAAAAACAAAAAAAGCCCCCGAGTTGTCCTGAAGTTGAGAATTTCTATCGAAATCATTAGATCATAACATGCTTAGTGCATTGCCAATGCTGCCTGTCTGCCCGAGCTCAACATTGAGTTGATAAAGCAATTCACTCAATAAAACTAATCATTGCAGAAAAAATTTCAACACAATTAATTTCTAACTTCAATCATGCGTCACTAGCTACAACCCAATCACCCCATAAGTTGAACCATTCTCAGAGACCCCAATGAACACTAGTTTTGTTATATGACTGTTCATTTCACTTGTCTATATTTTCCTGTAAAGGAGGGGGGAGGGGTGAAGAACTCACCCAACTTGGCACCCAAGTAAAAAACTGTTGACTACTTTTTAAGCAGGCCCAAAAGTTATCCTTTTAAATACACAAATCCAAGGACTGAAGAATTCTAATTATCAACCATGCTCAGTCAGGAAATGTTAACGCCATGGTGACAGATGGGTCAGTATTCCCACATTGGCACAAGCACAAATATTACAAAAATCCACACTTCAGAGCCAAGGTTAAAAATCTGATTTTTAGCATCCAGGAGGAAAAGAATATGGGGATTTTCACCATTTAAGTGAATGAAAAATAGATACAACTGTTCAAAAGTTAAATAACAGATGATTACAGTTCATTATAAAGCCCTTGGAATTTTATATTTCCATATAAGTACCTAATCTTGGTTGGGTAAGTTGGAGAGTACTTCAAGTTACTAAGTTAATAGAGTTAGCTGATTATCCTTCTAGCACAATCTTTTAAAGCAATTATCAACAGCAAATTCAATTTACTATGGCATTTTAAAGATTCAAAGTTTACCAAAGCAATTCTTGTCGGTATTATACTCCTTGTTCTTTCATGCAAAGAGCATTTGACTAACCTTATTACAGTGACGCCCAATACCCATTAGGAAGTTATCTGGTTTAATGTCTCTGTGTATAAAATTCTTTGTATGCACATATTCGATTCTACTGATCATCTGGAAAAAAAAAGGGAGAAATAATTGAGATAAGTGATAAATAAAAGCAGCACATTATTTCTCAAGTATTTCAATACCTGAATTATTTACTTAGAGTTCACAAAGACAATGAGAGAAAAATTTAAAAGGAAAAGACGTCTAAGCTCTCCATTTATTTCTAGATTGATGGACATCTATGCATGAACCTGCAGTGTTCTTTTAGCTCGTCTTTCCAGTATTCATGATTAAAAACCTGACAAGGTCTAACCTGACAGGAAGACTTGGTGTTTCTGATTTTCAAATTATAAAATTAATACATTTAAAATCATTTCGGTTGCCACAATACAACCGAAACTTTTACAAAAGTAAAAGCTTTTTACCCTCAATTCTATACCCTATTCAGTGCTAAAATGGCCTGGTATTACCCAGACCTATACTATTTCCATGCTATTCTTACAAAGATACACGTACACACATAAACTCAGACATAGACATATACTTGGGAGTCAGGGGTGCTGACCAATTGGCAAATATAGCTATTGTCAACGGAAAAAAAGCCAAACTCTGTAAAATAATTTTAAAGAGATTTACTCTGAGCCAAATTCGAGGACCATGACCCGGAGCCATGCCCAAGAAGCCTTGAGCAACTGGACTCGGTGTGGCTGGGTTACAGTTTGCTTTTATACATTTCAGGGAGACAGGGGTTACAGGTGAAGTCATAAATCAATACGTGGGAGGCATACATTGGTTTGGCCCCAAAAGGTGGGCCATGGGGCGGGGGAGCGGTTTACAGGTTATAGGTGGGTTTAAAAATTCTTTGACTTGTAATTGGTTAAAGACACGAAGCTTTGGCCAGGCTCGGTGGCTCATGCCTGTAATCCTAGCACTCTGGGAGGCTGAGGCGGGCGGATTGTTTGAGCTCAGGAGTTCGAGACCAGCCTGAGAATGAGCAAGACCCCGTCTCTACTAAAAATAGAAAGAAATTGGCCAAACAACTAAAAACAGAAAAAATTAGCCGGGCATGGTGGCATATTGCCTGTAGTCCCAGCTACCTGGGAGGCTGAGGCAGGAGGATCGCTTGAGTCCAGGAGTTTGAGGTTGCTGTGGGCTAGGATGATGCCACGGTACTCTAGCCCAGGCAAGAGAGTGAGACTCTGTAAAAAAAAAAAAAAAAAAAGACATGCAGCTTTGTCTAGAGGCTTGGAAAGTTTTAAGGTAAGAAGCTCTTAATCAGAGATAAGCCAATGGACATATATTTGCCGTGTAAATTGAGGACCTGCAGGTTTGTCTTGAATACCCTTAGACCTGCTTATGGGTTACAAAAGATGTCCCCAAGAAGGGAGGGGGGCATGATGAGGCATGTCTGACCTCCCTCCTCCTGGCAGGCAATTTTAGTTTTAGGATATTCCTTTGGCCATGAGGGGGTCCATTCAGTCAGCTGGTGGGGGGTGAGCCTTAAAATTTTATTTTAGTTCACACTATTAAGTAGTTGTTATTATTTCAAACTGAGATAGAAGCATTATATTCACTTTACTCTTGTTTGCTTGTTTTAACTAAACATATCCCAAACATTCCTGGGAGTTGGTAGCTATAAGATAAGCATATACATGCTAAGGTTTCCTTTCTTGTGTGCTTTTTAGACTCCTCCATGTTTTTCTCCATGCTTATTACTAATGTTAATCCCATTCAAAGGGTGAATATTAAACATGTCATTTTAACAAGCTTTTAACTTCTTGGAAATTATGCCAAGTCAAATGATATAATATAGCTCTAATATTCTTTTTAACGGCTATAAATATTCTATGGTATAGAAATGTTTTCCCCAATTATTACCCAATTCACATTGTTTCTAATTTTTCCCACTATAAATAATGTTATTAATACACTTAGATATGGATCCTTACCTACTGATGCTTTTATTTCTATAGGTTTTAAATCCCATACAATTATAGGGAGTTACTGGGTTTAAGGGCATATCTCTCATTGTGTTAAGGAAACATGAGACTGCCTTTCACAACAGGCTATAACAATTCCTATTTCCACCAGTAGTAAATAGGAGTATTCTTTTTGTTACTAGTGATTTTAGTTCTTCCCAAATTTTGCCAATTTGACAGTTAAAAATTATTACCTTACTTGTACTTCCCTAATACTTAGCTTGGTCATTTGATCATTTTTACTGGTGATTTGGATTTATTCTTCTATGAACTAGCAAACTATACTCTTTGTCTATTATTCTTTTGGTTTGTCCTTTTCTTGTCAATTTTTAGGAGTTCTCTGCATATAATAGACACTTTTCATTTGTTATGTAAATAGACTTGCAATTTTTAAATGTCTTTTTTTATGGCACCTATTGTATACAAGAGAAGTTTTAAAATTTCAAATTATCAAATGTCTATCTTTTCCATAGATACCTAGAAGTTGTATTTTAAAATGTATTCCACATCCAAAGATTGCCATCATTATCTATCCATATGTTCTTGCTCTTCTCAGTAGTATGTGTCAGAATTCTATTTTTTATTTGTCCCCATTTTCCAGAGCTTTTATTACCATGAATATGCAGATTCTAAATCGTGCTCTTCTACCTTGGCAAATGTCTTCTGAAGCCAAACCAGTAATCTATGGCTTAAACTACTTAAACCTTCAAAGTAGTAAGTGCATACAATGTATAAATATCACGTTTATGTGCAGAAGCAACTTATAAAAGTAAAGCAAAAGATTTAGGTGACATACTTGACCTAGCTAAATAATAGCCATCATTAAACTGTGCCTATTAAATCGCTGCAGAAAAGTTGAGTAAAGGATAATTAATGGCATCTACTGCAGACTATTTCAAATATTATTGCCAGTATCACTTACAGAGCAAGACTCAGGTGTTAAACACCTTAAACAAAAATGTTCTTGTAACTCCCTCCCTCACAATTACATTCTTTCTCATGTTACCAGTGTACCCAACAGAGACTTCTATCACAGAACCTTGAACATCTCATTTTGCCATCTTTCTCTGCTAGACTGTAAGCTCCTAGAGTGAAGGGACTAGTTCTTACTCTTCTTTGCATCTCCCCAGTGGTAAGTACAAAGATAGGCCCTCAATATATGCTCAATGTATGAATGCTTATGTGTTACCAAGCCTACAAACATAAGCTATAACTCTACTAGGATTCACTGACATATGTTAGTTAAGACATATTAAAAGCTTTTATCCCTTTAACACTTGAATTTATAATGCGCCACAACTCAACATTCTAATTTGCTAATATTTGCTTCTGCCCCACAGCAGATTTTAAGTTAAGAAGCCTAGGGATTATCAGGTGCTGATTACAGAAAATGAGTCCTACTTTCTAATCCCTTGAATTTATAGACTTTTAAAATATTTTTTAAAAATTGATCTTTAATAATCGTATACATTTTGAGGTACATGTGATATTTTGATATATGCATACAATGTGTAATGATTAAATCAAGATAATCGAGATATCCATCACATCAAACATTCGTATTTTCTTCTCTTCCAACTATTTTGAAATATACAATAAACTACTGTTAACTATAATTTCCCTACTGTCCTATCAGGTACTATAACTCATTCCTTCTATCTAAATGTATTTTTGTACCAATTAACCAACTTCTCTTCATCCCCCCTAAATTTATACTTTCTAAAATTCTGTGTCAACTGCCAGTTTTATCATCTCATTTTCCTTTATGACATCCAATCTTTATTTTTAAAAATGTCACTCTTTCACAGGATTTTTATAAGCACACTGAGTTTGACATGAACCATTTCCAACATTTTCCCATACTTAAGGTAACAAATCTTGACCAAAGCTAAAAATTATAAATTCCTTGATATTCATCTATTGTTTTAATATATTACCTTTCCCTCAAGGTTTGTTCCTGACCCTATTTCCCCTCACCTTAAAAATGTTTTAAACTAATTCTTTCTCATTCAAAATATCTAAACTTTGACTGAAGAGCCATTTAATCTGACCTATAGCCAATGTATCAAGTTCATGACATCTCCAAAATTTCTCAGGTCTTGCTTAAATAATACCAGTGGCTAAGAATCTATTACTTCAAAGAAGCATATTACTGGTCAAAAATTCTTCCTTGAATTATTTCAGTACCTTATTTTCTTCAAAAAATACAGCTTTCATAAGAGTCCCACACATAATACATAATATTCAATTTGTTTAATTTATCCAAAATTTCAATATATATATTTATCTACACATACACACATACACTCTGAACTCTTCCTTCAAACAAGATCTGCTACATGTAACACTAAAACTCTATCTGAAGGAGCAGCCTGAAAACTGCTAGTTTACAGATAAGTAATAATTCCACTTTTGGTCTTACACCCATAGGAAAACATCTCAAGTCATATCATTAAATTTTTTTTTGCTATCCTAAGGTTAAATGGTGATGATAAGATTGTAATACCTGGTTTAGGAACATTGAAATACAGTCAACAGAAGTATTCTTAGTTTTTATTCTCATCAAAACGTCACATACCTGGTCAGCTAACATAAGTACAGTTTTCATTGTGAACCTTCTTGAACAGAAATTGAAGAGGTCTTCAAGGCTGGGTCCCAGAAGATCCATGACTAGTACATTGTAGTCTTTTTCCTGACCATACCACCTAACAAAACAAAAGGATAGGGAGGGCATTATGAAAAGCTGACTATCACTACCACCGAATTGATTAATTTTAGGAGACAGGGTCTCACTCTGTCAGCTGGGCTAGAGTACAGTGTTGTAATCATAGCTCTCTGCAACCTCAACTCCTAGGTTCAAGCAATCCTCCTGCCTCAGCCTCCCAAATAACTGGGACTACAGGTGTGTGCCACCACGCCTGGCTGATTTTTCTATTTTTTGTAGAGATGGGAGTCTCACTTTTGCTCAGGCTGGTCTCGAACTCCTGACCTCAAGCAACCCTCTATGCCTTGACCTCCCCCAAAGTGCTAGGATTACGAGCGAGAGCCACTGTGCCCAGCCAGTATCACCAAATTTTTAAAATTTGTAAACTCTAAGAAGATAGTTTCCCTCTCTGGTTAGGTTTTATTTAAGCTAAGTTTTCCTCTATTCAGAAGACAAACCCACTGGTCAACTAGATTGTCCAACACAAAACAAGGGTAATGATACTCTCCTCCCCCCGCATCAAGTGACCCCACTCTCCTATAAAGACAGGACACGTATGGCAGCCTTAACATTCCTCTTATCAGGGCAGCTGAATTCTATCTATACCCCTCTGCCATTGATTCCTGTAATCTTCAGCAAATTCCTTAACCTCACCTGGATTTACTTCCTAACTGTACAAATGAAGACTATTATCCGTCATTCCGAACCCTGCAGAAAGCAAAGATCCCTTTTATCATAACTCCTGGCCCAATCCCCACCTAAGTGCATTTACCAATTACCTGCCCTTTTTCAAAAAGGAGTCCCATTTTTTCTTAGTTTCAGATTACAGAGAATAACCAGTATTAACACAAGGTGTGTTAACATTTATTTGCTTTTGACTGGAATCATGTTTCAATTATCCCATGCTGTATTACTGTGGATACATATACAACATGTCCCCGATAACACAAGAAATACCATCTGCTAATGTCATTTACCCCAAGGAATGGGAATCATTGCAATAAATGATTTCAAATTTGACTGTCTTATGATTCTGGTAAGGGGTACTTTCTTAAAACTTAGCACTACCATTTTTATTTTAAACTTTTCTAGATTACGAATTCTGCTTGGAAAGAAAACTGGCCAATATTTAAAATTTTGTAAGGAAAACAAGAAAGGTACAAGTAATTTTAAAGCTGAAAATGGAGCCATTTCTTTGTTAACTCCGGTTAAGAAGCAATACCAACTATATCCAGAAAGTTTATATGTTTTAGAAATATTCAAAAAAAGGAGAAAAGTTTTTTCTTAAAAAACCAAAATCTGTGTCAAAATTACAACAAATTAGTCTAGTGGGAAAATTTAGTGCTTTTAATGCTACTTATTGCTGTTTTGCTAATATATGCCAATGATTCAAAGAAAACCAAGATTAAAACTAGAGTATGAGGATTAATATTTGAGCAATGATATTTTTCCAGAAAATGCAAAATTAACTACTTTGTACCAGAGTATATTATTCTGATGTCTCTTCTTTAAGAAAATAGTCTATTCTAACCAGTGGTCCCAAACACCCACTAACATTATCTCCTGATGACATCTACCAAAACTGCAGGAATTTCAGTCATGATACCCAAGAAAGGAAACAAAATAAATAAGCCTCAAATCAGTTAGTTTTAATTTCAGACCTATTCAGATAGGTCCCATATTCAGACACAATGAATACGTCCGCTAGAATGTTACGCTGAGAGTAAAAGATCACAGTAAGTCCAAAAAGTTCAAGTTCTTTCCTGTGTTCACCTGTTCTTGAGAACTACTTTCCAAACATGAGACGTGTAACTGCCATTAAACTCAGAAAATGGAATCCATTTTCACATCTTCTTTGCAGAAAGTAGTAACTGAATAAGGAAAGGGTGTTTGCTTAACTCTCTAGAGGTCTTGCCCACTAGCCTAAAAAAGAAATAGATGTGCCAACGTAAGAGTGGTAGAGTCAGTCTGTCCTTATTGCACCTAAAACCGTGCAAAGCTGCTGTTATTTTCTCTCTTCTACTCTATTCTCCATATGGGACTTCAGCACCCTACACATTCATTCAAACATTTACTTGAAAGAAGTTCACAGTGATGTTTTGGGCAACACATAACAAATAACAGTATTAAAAGGTAAATAGTAAAGCAAATAAGTTGTCTTCTCCTTTCCCTTTTCCTCTTCATTTTATTTTGCCCTTTCCTTTTTCCTCTCCCTTTTATAATACTTAAGTGCAGAGGCAAATCTGTGCTAGACAGCTGTCAGGAATCTGCCATTATAAATGGTGAACATATTAAGAATTATAGCAGATTTTTAATATAAATCTAATTTACTCAAGTTTTTAAGAAACACCACCAAATCCAGAAAGAGCTAAGGAAGTGTGGGGAAGGCACAAAAAGTCAAATAGGCAAAAGGGAAAGCAGAAACCAACTCTCATAAGACTATGTCTCAGCTCTACATAAACAGATTTCCACTATGACTAAGAGACATAAAACTACTTAAAACTCCTTATTGTAACAAGCAAATGTTACAACCATTCAAGCCCAAATACAAACCTGGGATGTGAAAGACACTAATTCATACCTCATATCTTCATGCAATTAACACCATTTCATAAAGCACTTCTTAAACAAATGATCTGCAAGTAAGCCTCTAGCTCCCTCAATAATTAGAAACTGGGAAAAATTATATGAATTCAGAAATAAACATTTTAAAAAACCAAGTTATTGGACATTCTTCTCCTTAAGTGTATGAACATAAGAATATGTCTTTTGTTCTCAGTGTCAAGAGGATGAATATTCCATAAAAAATAGCTAAAATATATACATTTCAAAGGTATTTTTCTCTGTGAGCAAACATGCAGCTCTAAAATAACTAGGTCTCTCTGCTCTACAGAGACTGGCACTATAACTCCAAACCCAAGAGACAGGTGTTTCTTTCATACTTCCCTTTGGTTTCAAGGAATATATAGCTTAATTCTCCAAAGCTAACACCTCACACCCTCCATCTGTGCTTTCCATCTGGACTAAGTCATTCAGACATTATTACACACAGATTAGAAACTAGGAATGGTCTTCTACTTATTCAAATCCTACCTATTCTTAGTTTGTACCTTCACTCTATGTTTCCCACTTCTATTCTGAGCTTCTCTCTACTTTCAATCCCAACCTCTTAAAACCCAGATGTCAAAGAAATCTTTCTTATGTCACCTATCCCACACTGATCTCCCATTTCCCAGAATTCCCAAAGTCATTGACTATTATTGCTTGTATCCACAATCTACCCCTTAACAACACAATATGCACATATTATCACTTCGGCATTTCTGACTCTACACCTGGATGCTATTGCTAATAGTTCTAGCTACCCTTTCTTTTCTCTGAATTCCTTTTAATGTTCCTATACATTAACACTTATGTGTGTCTTTCTTAACAGTATCTGCCACTTACTATACAGATATATTCTCAAAATCATAAATACCTTTTCTTCCCACACATCCCTTCTCAGAATGTTTTAAATGCACAAAATAAAATACACATTATAAAGGAAACCAATTATAGTGAAATTCAGCTAACATAAAATTACTTTCAAAAAATCAATTTTGGGATATAGTATCATAATATACATATTCTCTTTATTAATGCATTAAATAATATGATATAGGGATAGGTTTTAAGTGCTATAGTTTGGAAGTACTAATGAGTATAAGCCACATTTTAAGATACTGGCAACAATGATGTGATGTAAAAATATCTGTGATTTCTATCGGTGACAAAGTACAGGTTCTGCTAAAAACTAATGGAGGTTTTTGCCTACACTTACCAAAAAAAAAAAAAAAAAGCCAGATTTTACAGGTTCATGAAAATAAAGATGTAATTTTTTTACCTGTCCAAGTTCACAGATCTCATGAGGGATGGAGGTAGGGGATATCGCTGGACCAAGTTAAGAACTCCTTCTCTAAACTAACTTTTGAAGTAAACAGACCATAGAATAAGACCTAAAATTTGAAAATTATGTGGATATTTACTCAGCAATAACACAGCTAAAATGACTCGCTTTCACTCTCTTCCACCCTAACCGTCCTTCCTGTTACTACTAACCCTTTGCTCACAGCACCTCCAAGATCCCTAAATTACAGCATAACGATTTCATATTCTCCATCTCCTTATTCCTTGCCATTTGCCTTCGAAGATGTGTAAATGTTCCTTAACTCTGAAAATCATAAAAACAAAAAACTTTCTTTGGTACATATCACCATTCACCACCAAAGCTACTATTCATTTATTTATTCAATATTTGTAGTAGCTAACAAGACAATACCACATAATCCCTGCTTTTTTGACTTAACAATGCAGTGTTAGGTGGCACAAATTACAGTGATCCAATCTGTTTTTAGAGGGAGGAATCAGGGCAAGTTTCTCTGAGGAAGTAAGGATGATTCCTTTTTTTTTTTTTTTTTTTTTGAGACAGAGTCTCACTCTGTTGCCCTGGCTAGAGTGAGCGCCGTGGCGTCAGCCTGGCTCACAGCAACCTCAAACTCCTGGGCTCAAGCGATTCTACTGCCTCAGCCTCCCGAGTAGCTGGGACTACAGGCATGCGCCACCATGCCCGGCTAATTTTTTCTCCATATATATTTTTAGTTGTCCAGATCATTTCTTTCTATTTTTTAGTAGAGACGGGGTCTTGCTCTTGCTCAGGCTGGTCTCGAACTCCTGACCTTGAGCGATCCTCCTGCCTCAGCCTCCTGAGTAGCTACAACTACAGGCGTGCACCACCACACACGGCTAATTTTTAGTAGAGACAGAGTCTCACTCTTGCTCAAGCTGGTTTGGAACTCCTGAGCTCAAGCAATCCTCCTACCTCGGCCTCCCAGAGTGCTAGGATTACAGGCGTGAGCCACCTCACCTGGCCAGAACGACCTCTTGAGCCCAGGAGTTTGAGGCTGCAGTGAGATATGATCCTGCCACTGTACTCCAGCCGAGGCAACAGAGCAAGACCCTACC